CTCAATCGACGCAAGTCACAACCCCATGGGATGGAAAGTCGACCCGCATTGGTCGGCCATTTCCCCTTGCGAAAAGTATAAGAAAGCCAGACCTTCTTCAAGTTTAATCACCGACTTACCTCTGGTGGTGATCCACAAGTACATATCCCACATGATTTTCGGAAAGAAGGAGTCAAATAAGGTCAACGAGCAACATGTATTCATCCTGTGGTTGATTTCACAAGGCAAACCAGTAACCATGTTGCAGTATCTGAAGGAGTCACTCTTTGATGTTCGGAATGATTCTAGGCGTGGCCCAAACTTGGGCCATGTGGTGGCACGATTGGACGAGTACTTCGAGGTTGATATTGATGAACCGAAGATGCCCGCCAAGTACATATCCAGGAAAGATCTCTACCGTGACTTCCTCATAGACGACACCACTCCGCTCTCAGTCTACCGGCGGGATGGCTACAAGGCCTATTGCAGGGAGATGAGCTTACCCATACCGGACGCCCAGTCCCAGCCAGCGGCCGGTATATCCACCGGCCATGCCCGAGCGGCCTCTCATGACAGAGACGGTGATGACTCCGATGCCGAGGCACAACCCGACCACAATACCTATCAGCCTCCTCCAGTGACAAATGATCACCCGAGTGCATTTTCTCAGCAGACTCCCACTTGGTTCTCCTCGTTCCAGACAAGATATGATGAGAACCAGGCCCGGAATGACGAGCAGTATCGGGCCATCCACGCCGAGGTATCATCGCACAATGTGCGGCTCGAGTCCTATATCGAGTCCAACGATGCACGTTGGACGTCCTTCTTGCAGACCAACGACGAGCGTTGGGCGGAGCAACAAAGGGAGTGGAACGAGTTCAAACGGAGCAACGAGGCGCACAGGACAGCCCATGACACTCGCTGGGACACCTGGGAGGCACAGCAGTACCAGCATCTACCACCACCACCGGACGCACAGTGACTTGTCACTGTGCTTTGTACGTTTTTCTTTCTATTTCTCTTTTATTTTTGTATAGCTTCTTTGATTTCGTGTCGAGTTCATTATATGGTTTACTCTCCTTCCCCGAGAATTGACAATGGGGACATTGTCCGATTTTAAGTGTGGGGGAGTTTACGTGCTTACGTGACTATGTGGTGGACTAGGTCTAGTTCTTGTCTTAGGTTGTTTTTATTTCTTTTCTCTTGCATTTTGGGCCGGTTTAGTCTTTCTGTTTTTAGGATTATTTTTTGTGTCTTTCTGAACATGGACTTTGGTGTATTGTAAGATTAGTTGATGATCGATTGATTAAGTTAAGGAGTTGTGATTTTGAGAATGAGTGACATATTTCGACTATTTTGCTTGGCTATTTTGGATGACATTATCTACCTTGTGAGGCTTGAGCCATACTCGTTTCTTGAGAGATGTTTGTTTGAAAATCATTAATCTAGGATTTGCTTTGAGTCAACTTTGAAATGAATAATCGATTGAATTTGTGAAACGTGAATATGATTGAGGCATTCCTTGTATTTTCTTCTCCTTCTCTTTTCTATGAATAACAATCACTAGTCACCCCCTTTGAGCCTTATATGATTTTATTGTTAACCTCATGATGATGATATTGAGTTGTGGGTTGAGAATTGGAGGTGTTGGTTGATTGAACTGTGAATATGTTCATTTGTTTTGTTATAAAAAAAAAAAGAAAAAAAAAAGAGAGAAAAAGGGGAGCCAAATGGATTATACTCCTAGCGCTCGACCCACTAATTTAGCGGATTCGAGCCATGAGTACGGGAAAACGGTCTAGGAGACTCGAGCAGAAAACTCGAAGGTTAAACCTAGATAAGATGTCCAAATGGTTCTCGCAAAAAAAAAAATAATAAAAAAAATAATAATAATATTGTTTGGGAAGTATGTTGGTTTTGGAGTAATAGGGAGGAACCGGTTGGTATTCGACAACCGGAAGTGTTCGTGATCACGGTTGGGTGATGAAATTGAATTGAAGTCATTTCTATCTAGCCACTTAGCCTATATGTATCCTACCCGACCCAAAGAGCCTACATTATAACCCGAGAAGTCCTCTTAATTCATCGTTTCACGTCTTTGATTGTTTTAGAGTAGAAGTTAGACGATTGGCAAATCTATGAATGATTGATTGATTACCAACTTGAGTGCACCTCTTTTATATTTGCAAAAGAAACTGAGTGAGGCATATGATATATTTTCGTACTCGAGAGTCTTTGTCATTTGAAATAACTGAGTTCATGGTTGATGTGTGTTCTCATGATCTTGAATTCTTCGTGACTTGATTTATTGGTTTGAGATTAGTCTTGCTTGAACCGTTGTCCTTGCTCGTTTATTTGCTTTCTTTTGTTTTCTTTTCTTTTCTTTGTTCGGGACGAACAAAGGTCTTAGTGTGGGGGAGTTGTTTGTCCCCTTTTTGTTACTATTTTTGTTGATATTTTGTGTGTCGTTTCCCCCGTTTTAGGTCTTCTCTTAGGTATTTCCGGCCTCTTTTGTCATTTCTTGCGTTTTATCTTTATTTTGGTGTGTTTAGGTTTTTTCTGTGTTTTCGTTCCTATTTTTCTCTGTTTTACGTGTTTGTCCGGTGGTGCGATTTCAGGTTCTAGGCTGCCCGGATAGGAGAGCATTCAGACGAGAGGAGAAGCGTGTTGATCGAGCATCATTTGACCCAAACATGCGAGGATCGAGTTTCCAGCTCGGGCAATACCCGAGCGACATGGACGAGCACACGAGCCGAAGAAAAAGCCACCACTTTGATCTTCCAGGCCTTAGCACCGCTAAGGTGCCTTAGCGCCGCTAAGGCCATAGTGGATAGCGCCGCTAAGGCCATAGTGGATAGCGCCGCTTAGAAGCTTAACGGGGACAGACATGAGCAGCTAACGAGGCTTAGCGGCGCTAAGGAAGGTCAGCGCCGCTAAGGTCAGTTTTGTAACAACTGCGGGATTTTCGTGATTTCGAATTTGGGATTGATTAAGGTCGAACTTAGGGCATTGGAGAGAGGGGGAGACTTTTTTTGTACATCTTTTTCACCTTAGAATACACCTTTCTCTTAATTTTGCATCTTGGATTTGATTTTAGAGCATAAAAACTCCAATTTCTAGCTCGGATTTCGGTTGTTCGTTGTTTTCTCTTGACATTGGATTTGTTATTAATCGTAAGCACCTCTTTTCATTTTGTTTATGAATATGATGGTTTGTTTGATTATGAATGTTCGTGTTGAGATTGCAATGGGTAGCTAAATTCATTAGCTAAGGTTAGGGGATAATTGTTCCGGTTCAATCTTGTTGGCATGAATGTTGATTGCTCAATCTAGACGAGTTAGGCTAAACCTAGGGTTGAATATCTGATCATCATTTAATCTACTTAATCGATTTTAGAACGAAAGGGGAGGAATCGATCGACCTCGGCTTGTTTAGAATAGACTTGTTCGGTAACGTATTGTCTATGTGTTAATGGATTCAGTGATTGCTCGTTTATGCTCATTCTCTTGTTACGTGAGTTATTGCGAATGAGTCTCTAAATGTATTGGTTATTTCGAGTCCGTTAATTGAGTAATCGATTGTCCGTTGAATGTAATAAGAACAGGAAACGATTATCCCCAACTCCCTAGCCCATTCATTACTATTGGAATTTGTGTTTGAGCTGTGAGTTCGGAATTGATTGTCTTGCTTTCATTATTATTTGCTTTACAATTAGTAGTTGATAAATCAAACTAAATCGTGAATCAGAGTGTTTTGGATTTCGTTTTCTCTTTTTGTGTGATCGAATAGTCGTGCAATTTATTCCGGCTGACCTTCTTTGTGATACGACCCAAGGAACGAATCTTTCGATTCTACTTCAGTAAAAATACTTACAACAGACCTCTGAGGGCTTTGTGCTGAATCAAGCCAAATATGCTTTGGACATTCTTGTCAAGACAAATATGGCTCTTTGCAAACCTGTTTCTACTCCTATCTCCCCATCTCACAAACTTCATCTCATAGACAGTAACTCATTCTCTGACCCTTCTCTTTTCAGAAGTATCATTGGGGCTCTTCAATACCTCACCATTTCTAGAACTGACATTTCTTTTGCTGTCAACAAGCTTAGTCAATTCCTTCATGCTCCCACTGTCAATCACTGGCTTGCTTGTAAGCATTTGCTCAGGTACATTAAGGGTACTTTAACTGTTGGGCTGCAGTTCAAACCAATTCAGAGGTTCACTTTAGAAGCCTACACTGATGCTGATTGGGCCAGCTGTGTGGATGATCGACGTTCTACTGATGGTCATTTCATTTTTTTTTTGGTCCAAATCTCCTTAGTTGGAGTTCCAAGAAACAGCAAGTGGTTGCTCGTAATAGTGCAGAGTCTGAATATAGATGTCTTGCCACAGCCCCTACAGATTTACTTTGGATGCAGTCCCTATTTCAAGAACTTGGTCTATTTTTTGAAGCACCGTCTGTTATGTGGTGTGATAACATTAGTGCAGCTGCCTTGGCTTCTAATCCGGTCCATCATGCTCGCACCAAACATATCGAAATTGACATTCATTTTGTTCGAGAGAAAGTAGCTGCCAAGGAAGTTGAAGTGAGATATGTTCCCTCCCACCTTCAACTTGCTGATCTTTTAACAAAGCCGCTCTCTCCCGGCCGTTTTCATTTGCTGTGCTCACAACTCCCTTTACGTGCTAAATCCCTGCCTGCATGTGGCTCGGCTTCAAGGGGGTGTATTGGAGAACAAGTTTAGTTGTTACATTAGTTGAGAAATATGGTTAGATAGTTAAATAATTAGTTAGCCCATTAATGACAGCTCACGCACAGCTTATGCTCTCATGCATGTGCATGACTCGTGCTAGCTTCTCTTTGTATAAATAAGTACTGTATCTGTGTGCCTTTAACATTCAACAGAAACGAAATTATCATTTGGGATTACGAGTTTCAACAGAGGGAAGGGAACAAACTAGTATTCTAATTTACCAAACAAAATTTTGAGATAGTATAACATAGCACACATTACGAATAATTTATATGTAGATCGAATATGCGTGTCCGCCTCGATATTGTCGTCTGGGCACAACATTGATTTGGAACGAAGTCGAGCGTCCATTGGGATGATCAACTTTGACTTCATATTGACCATGATGAAGCCGAGTCTTGTAAATGCCATTTGAATCGGTAGTTCCTGGCAAATCTGTAGCATGACTCAATTGACTAATAAAATTGTCCACAACGTCTCCTGTTGGTAAATTTCTGAAATTGAAGTCCGTTAAACACATTTGATAGCATCCACTTGGATTTATAGCTGTCCACATCATTATGCCTTTTACTTTGGGATGTGAAAAAAGCTCGTGCAGAATTTGGTCCAAGAAATATGCCTATAATAAATATAAGGTAATTAGAACATATTAATTGATATATTATTATTAGTAGTAGTTGTAGTAAAAACGATTAATTAATAATTATTAAGAATTAAATAGAAAGATATTTAAAAAAGAGTAAATTATAATTGTAGTCATGTATATTTCACTACCCTATCTTTTCGTTCTCGTCGAATTGCGTTTTCTATTTTCGTCACGTATGTTTATAAAAATGTTACAAAAAGGTCATTTCATTGAATTTCGTCTCTTATGTATGAAAAATTACATTTTGTAACGTCTTTGCAAACATACGGGACGGAAATAAAAAAAAAACGCAACTTGAAGTGGACGAAAAAGTTAGGGCAGAGAAACATAGATGACTAAAATTGCAATTTACTCTTAAAAAGAATACCTGATTGGGGCCAGGTGCAACGTCCAACTCAGTAACCCAAATTCGCGCTCGTGCAGCTGCGAGTACATCGAGTGCAGACCTTATGTAGGCCAAATTCGCATAAGTAAAATGACCCTCTAACCCAATACCGAATCTCCCAGCATAACCGGAACTCCGTAAACTGTTAATGTCCTGCAAATACCTCCACGGCGAAGCGTTAGGGTCATAACACTGTTCTATGGTGTTGTAATCGTTTAGAAATGGTATTGCTCTTTGACCGTCGATCTGGTTGGCTATCTTATAGAAGTTATAAGACGCGCCACTACCCAACTTACTCTCCAGAAACTGGCCGTGCATGTTCTCATTGACCACGTCCCAGTGAATGAACTGGCCCTTGTATCTATTCATCACCGAGTATATTCTCTTCCAGGCAGCCTCCCCAAAGGCATATGGCGCCAGTCCATTGACCCAATAAGGCTGAGCATTGGGGACGTCCCAGAATATGTTGTGCCCGCGAATTCTAATACGGTGGGATTTGGCGAATTGGACGAGCTTGTCAGAGATTGAGTAGTCTGTGTTGCCAGGAGAGTATTCGGTAGAGTACCATTTGAGCTCGTTTTCAAAGACGGTGTACTTGAATCTTTTCAAGAACCAGTTTTGGTAGGCAGGGTTGTCAAGGATGTATTTGTTGATGGCGGAACCGAGGGGAAATCTCCGGCGCTTTTGGGTTACCCTAACTGTTGCGTTATGCACCGGACGGCCCCATTGGTCCAAAACGTTAAACTTCACTCCGGTTTTCCGCACCTATACACACACACACATAAACATTAACATAATGATTATTGTATAGGGTTTATTGCACCAAATCCCCCTGTATTATATGAAATCTGCGCGTTATCCGGGGGTGTACCTTCTCCACGTTATGTCGTTGATGGGATTTCCATTCTTGGAGAGTAAATGGCTGCAGGGAGATGCTGTCTGCCCAAATATCAGCTTGTAGATTTTTGGACTGGCCAATGGAGTGGAATCAAAGTGTAAGATCAAATAAATAAAAATGGTGTAATTGATGCATGGATTATTACTTAACAGTTTTATTGTTGTTTTATTGTTTTTTTTCTTGATAATTGCAATTTTAAAAAGAAAATGCCACTAATTGAAAGGTAATTTAAAAAAAAAAAGACTTTAAATAATAAATTAAATACTGATAAGATTCTTTTTTTTTTGGCTTATTAAATATAAAATTTTTATGTCTAATCTTAATAATAATTAGATGTTACAAATATTTCTTTATTTTTTCTTATTTTTATATATTTCACAAGCTCACATTTTACGCCGTGTATGTCCGACTTTCAGCATTTTCTAGTCAATATTGTATGTAAAAATAATTCGAAATCTCAATCAGAAAATAATTTAAATATTTCAACAGAATTAAAAATAATAATAATAATAATAATAATAATAATAATAATAATAATAATAATAATAATAATAATAATAATAATAATAATAATAATAATAATAATAATAATAACTCCCCTGCTAAAATAAGAAATAAAATAGTTTGACCGAATCAATGAACAATCATGTATATAATTACTTTAACCGAATGAATAAAATAAGAAATATATACGGTTTAAGTTTGACATTTTGCTAGCACGCACCCAAATTGATTTCCTTCATTAAATAAGTAAAATAATTACCATGTCAAAAGAAAAAAAAATAAAAAAATAAAAAAAACAAATTTAAAAATATAAAAAAAAAAAAAAAAGAAGAAGGAAGAAACCTCAAAATATAATTGAGCTGGGCCAGAAACATTGACCGTGAAGCCACCTTTCAACATTGACCAGCAGCCACTTTTGGCCACCACCCAACCACCAACTTCATACCCTGTCCTCGTCTTCACAACTACTGCCACGTCAGCTCTTGGATGCCCCTTCACTTGTACCCATGCTACCACATTTTGGTATTTCATTTCATTAATTAATTCAGAAGACCAAAAAATAAAAAAATACCTTATAAGCATATCTTATACCAAATTGGACATGGCCAAGGGTCGACCCGGCCTGGGTCTATCGTTCTTAGAACCGGACCCATGGTAGACCGGGTCGGTTCTGGGTCAATTTTTTCCTTTCGAACTCGTCGGTTCTTGGTTGGCCGCAGGGTCCATGTTGTTTTTTTATAAAACCTAGCGGTCAAGGAACTGTTGGGTCGGGTCGGTTCAATGAACCGACCCTTATATATAGTCGGGCAGGTTCCGGGCTCAGCTTTTGAGGCTGATGACCCGGCGGTAGGGTCAGGGTCGTGAACCTGTCCGGCTGATGGCCATGTCTATACCGAATAAAATCATTGTTTGAGTGCCACTAACCTCATTGAATTTACTTCACCCATTTTAGACCAATTTGTATTGATCCAAGTCTTAAGATTCATGCATTTATCCACAAAGCTAGCTAATTTTTTTTAACATTATTGTATATATATGTGTGTGTGTATTTATCAAATGAAAACACAATCAGTATATATTTACCAGAGACAGTGTAGAGTTTTTCCTTTTCAAGATATAACGTCTGTTTGAAACTATGAAAAGCTTGATTTCTTTCAGACACGGCAATGTATTTGTTAATCCCATCATCTTTATGCTCGATTTTCGCACCTCCAAACGCTTCCCAACCAAATAATCCTTCATTCAGTTCGGGATTCACAACTATTCCACCATCATAATGTGGCTTCAATGGGATTTTTAGGCACTGATAAAGAAAATATATAGACAAAGGGGATAAATTAGCAAAATCAAACTCCAAAACAAGACAAGTTAATTTGAGCATATATAGACAAAGGTAATTACTACAAACTATTTTTGTTACAAATTAAGCTTGTGGACTTGCCTTAGATGTAAAGGAGTGATCATAAGGCTTGACTACTTCATGTGCCTGAAAACCTGAGAGGACATAAAATGTAACAAGTCAATTTAAATTACGACTTCTCTTGTCCAAACAGTGTTATATATAATTATAATATGATAAAATCGCCATAATTTTAAAATTGATCATCTATATGAACAACTTTCTAAAATTGGTCCTCTATATTGCAAACTTAGTCCTTTAACTCGATAATTTCATCATTTTAGGTCCTCTAGTCTCTAGCTCGGGGCCGAGATTGGTCCCGGACTAGTAGATGATGAGGTTTGATAATAAAAATATCAAATTCAAATTTGATGGTGAAAATGAAATCGAAACGCTACCTAAGAGAAGGGATTGAATGTAAATGGAGAACAGAAAAAGATTTAAGAACTTTGCCATTAATTGCAAAAAGTGGTCGTTTTTTTGTTTTTGGCCTTAGAAATGTGCACATCTAACTATGCCAATATGGGCCTAATATATATATATATATATATATATATATATAGAGAGAGAGAGAGAGAGAGAGAGAGAGGATAAAATGTGATTAAGGTCTATAGATCTAATGATTATTAAAAAAATAATAATAATTTCAATGTTGTCTAATTACGCATGCCATGAAACATTAGTTTTTGCTGGTTGCATGTATCAAAGCTTATAATAAGTTAATATTGACCCAAATTAAAGGACTGAGTACGATTTATCATTTATGCGTGCTTCTCTTTTTTGATTCTTCTTGTCTTGGTCAGTTGAAATTTGCGGTTGATTAAAAAAAAAAAAAAAAAAAAAAAACCGGAAGATTTAAAATATATGGAAAATATCTTTCTAACATTTACAAAAAATATAACGTGGTATGTGCAATGCACCGGAAAATAATAATACAGTTATATAGTACTTACAACTAGTACGTAGTCTGTGTCATATTGCACGAGAAATATATGTTAATTTAGTTGTTTCCATAGGGTCTGTCCGTTTATGCTAAAAAAAACGATAGAGTTAGATTGTTATTTTTCATCTGTTTTAATCATCGTTGTTTCTTTAGTAGAGAACTGTTTATTATTCTTTTGTGCTTATTTTCTTGTGTTTCATTTGCTTTAGTCGAGTCGTTTTTAGGTTTGTTTTAGTGTCAATCAGTCTGTTTTGTCGGGTTTTGTGTGTTTTCGTTCTTGTTATGTGTTTTTGTATTTTTATCGCACTTTTCTTGCGTATTTAGGTGTTGATTAGGTCCACATTGTTTGAGTCGAGATGAAGATCCATTTTCGAGCCATTTCCGAATCTTATCTGAGCCATTCGGACCACTTACAAGCCATCCCGAGCCATTTTCGAGACGCGAGTCGAACCCAAAGAAGTCCCCGCACTCGCAGCGAGACGGCTTTCGCAACCCGCGAGAAGCCCGCCTGAACTCGCTGCGAGTACACATTGGCGACCCGCGAGGCAGACAACGCGCAAGAGAGAAGGTTCCGGCACTCGCAACAAAACCATACTTGCGGCCTGCGAAACGTGATCCGGGGCAGAAATCCTTGCACTCGCTGTGAAAGTATTTTGGCGACCTGCGAGATGGCATTGTGCAGCAGCCTTGGCCCGAACTCACTGCGAAATTTCTTTGGCGACCCGCGAAACTCCCAAACTGCACTACTTCATGCCCAAACTCGCTGTGAAACCGGTTTCGAGACCCGCGAACTGCAGATTCACTAAATGTGTGTGTTTGTGATGTAGCCATATATAGACATCTTGCTTTGCATATTTAGGGACAACCCCTCATTTCCCAACTTCTAAATTGTGAAATCCTCTCCATTTTCTCTCTTTTCTTTCTATGCTTTGGTTTGGAGGTTCATGACTCGATTTTTTCGGCAAGATTCCGGCAACCTTATTTTCGATCAAGAATTGAGTTTTACGCACTATTTCGTCTTCAGATGCGATAGAAAAGTAAGTGCCTTGCTTAGGGCTTACTACTTTGAGTTTGTTTTTCGATTTTTATGTTGATGCTCGATGTTTGGTCTTTGCTTTATTTTCATTTCTTGCTTTCGTCTGTTAGGATTCGATACGTGTTTATCTAGTATAAAGGTCTCGCCTTTGTTCAAAGTGTGATAATTTAGTGTAGAAAGCTCGTATTAGAAACCTAGAATCACTATGCTCGCATGTTTTCTCTTGTTTTTTTTTCTTTGTCTTGAGTCATGGAGATTCCGGTAGACCAAAGTTTCAATCTTTCTATCTGTATTTGAATTTTCCTTTATTTGCTCGAAATTCTTCATTAATTTCATGCAGATTCAATCCCTTCAAGAGAGTAGAATGTGTAGGACTTTGTTTTTGGTTATGTGACTTTGACGACTAGGTAGTGGACGAAGCTCCGAATAGCCTTCATTTGAGAAAGACCCGAGTCGGGTAACTCGGTTACCACATGCCCAGAAAAACTACAAACAAGAACGTCAAATTTGAATATGTCAGCCCGAACTTGTAAATTAATTAATATATTATCCTGCTAACATGTTTATATTGATATAATTTTGATTTTAGTGTGTGTGTATATATATATATATATGTGTGTGTGTGTGTGTGTGTGTGTATATATCTATTCCTTGATAAAAGAAAATTAATAATTTACTTATTCTTGTTCGTCATATAGTATTTAATTAATTATTATTTTACTACAAAATTTGTTATTATATAATTTCATTATTATATTTGTACAAATTATGTAGTAGTCTTTTTTTTTTACCAGAACGATAGGGAAACTATATATAAGCAAAAGCGGGAACAATGTTCCAATTACAATTGGGATAACCCGACGGACCTGAAATAAAACTGAGAGGTACTAGAATAGCACCCAGACTTCCAAACTCTAAGAAAGAAATAAATAGAATCAAGCTCCTACCCACTGCTAAACAAGCATAGCTAGGGAACTAGATTCCATACAACCGAAAACACAACAAGAGAAAACACAAACAAAAAAAATCCACAAAGAGCAAACCAGAAAAAGACAACACAAACAAATTAAGAGGCTAAAGAAAATTCCAAACAGTCCTGAAGAGCAGCTTTGATCACAATGTGGACTGGCATGAGGGAGTGTTGTAAGACCCATAAGTTTCTAGACTTCCATAGCCACCAGAGCAGATAGGTTGACAGTTAAATTATGTCCTCGACCATCTCTGTGTACTTGATTGAGCAAAGGTGCTGCCACCAATCTTTGAATGAGTGAGTGAGGTCTTGAAGTCCATCCCACTGAACTGGTGCTAAGTCCCACAGTCTAGAGGCTCTTGAGCAAGAAAAGAGGGTGTGCTCTAATGTTTCTGGATGATCACCACAAAAAAGGCATATACAACTCACTAGGACTCCTATTTTGATGAGATTTGTGGCAACAGGCAGTGTACCTGCGAGGCATTTCCAAAGGAAGTGCTTCACTTTCCCAAGGATTTTTAACTTCCAACATTTTGACATGGCCTGGTGGAGAGTTGAGGATGTGGAGCTGGATTCTGGAATATCCAACAGCAAGAGTTTCTTTGAAGCAAGGAGCTTATATGTGCTGGCCACTGAGAAAATTCCCTTTGGATCAGGGCTCCATAGAAGTCTGCCAGCCCTGTTAGGATGAGTTGTGCTGATATTAAGGATTGCCCCACTATCAGTAGCTTCAAACACCTGCTTTACAAGCCAATCATTCCAATGCACATCTGCAAGCATGAGGTCCTTGACCCAGATTAAAGGATCCCTGGCCCAACCCAACAACTCTGGACTTGGCCTATTCAAATGTGGTACCCAGTTGGGGTCTGCTATTCTAGTGGAAACACCATCTCTGATTTCAATCTTTATGCAGCTAGTAAAAAGTGGCATCACAAAGAGCCACCTGTGCCACAACAATGACCCCTTTTTAAGACCTTTCAGCTTGAAAAATGGAGCTATTTGGGAAATATCTATCTTTGAGAATCTGGCTCACAAGCAGCTTGGGGTTTGAGGCTATCCTCCATAGTTGTTAGCAGAGCAAAGCTTCATTGAAAAGTTTGATATCTAGAAAGCCAAGTCCTCCCTTAATTTTGGGCAATGTTACCATATCCCATTTTTTCCAGAAGATACCATAATTCAGTTG